AAAAAAAAAAAAAAAAAAAAAAAAAAAAAAAAAAAAAAAAAAAAAAAAAAAAAAAAAGGAAAGATATTACTCTGAATGAATTTTTAAGAATTAAGTGCCAATCTTTATGGTTCAAGAAATTGACCTCAAATATGCTAATTAGTTAATACAGACAATATTTCAAGTTACGAAATCAAACATAACACGTGATTGCTTGAATAAAAATATTACTTTTTTCAAATAATCTGGACTTTTGATCACACAAAATTAAATATGGGAGTAACTGCAATCTGGAAAATATAGTTCCAATAGTTCAATCAAGAAAGTATTCAAATTTTGGGTCCTTTAAAGCTATTTCAATTTTTAGGTGTTCCGCCATATTTCAGAAAATTTTTAAGAGAATCGAAAAAGTTCTGCACACAGTATTAAAATTCGTTTATCCAATGATAGTTTACTGTTCAAAATCATTTTTAATAATTTTTCACTATTTCTTAATAAGGGACAAAAATTTGGCATAAAATGAGGCATAAAATTTTTTAAATGCTGAAACATACTATCAAACAAAAATCTTTGAGAGTAAATATTTAGATGTGCTTATAAGATATTTTAAAAACGAATAAATTTTTTAAAACGCCTAAGTAAGAACTTTTTTTTTATAAGAAAATAATAATATTCTCGGCACGTTAAGAGACTGACGAAAAAAAAGAAAACAGCAATTGTAGATTGATAAAGTCTTTTGAAAAATATGTTGTAGATTTTTTATATTTTTAAAAGAAATTGGAGTACCATTAAACTGACTACACATTCCAAACCTTTCGCTAAACTCGCATCTCTACATTCGTCTTCTGTGCACTAGTACGCTTGTGGCAGGAAAGGGGTATTTTGCAAAGAAAAGGGTATTTTGCTGGTTTCTTCCTCATTGCAGAAAAGATACTTTTAGAGATATGATTTTAGCAGAGAAGAGTTAAGTCATTCGGAAACTAAAGACAAAATTTCGTACATTATTTTATATTTACAATAACACACAGAAATCCATTATTTAAAAGTATGAAGTTTTATTTTTAAATAAACAATTTGTAATAAATGATAAAGCTTGTGTTAAGTGAAAAGATTGAATAATATTTTTAAAAAATTTTGAGGCCTTAATAAAACAATTTCGAAAAAAAAAATTATTAAAAACGTTACGGTATTACCGTTAAAAATACAGTAGTAATTGTACTTAATTAAATTCGTTTGGAAAATCTGTAGGGGATTTCATATTTTTTAAATAATTTGAAGTATTATTTAAATGACCACAGTCATAACATTTCTCTGAAATCTCATTTCTTCATGCGTCTTCTCTGCGATAATACGCTTCAAGCAGCGAAGGGGTAACTTTTTAGAAAAAAATATTTCTTTTCCTTCCTTCCAAATAAAGCTTTACTGAAAATGAGATTCGTTTCGAGATATGACTTGAGCAGAAAATACTTAATCATTTGGGAACCAAAGGTACAATTTTGAATATTACTTAATATTTATAATAAAATACAGCAATTTATTATTTAAAAATATTAATTTTTTAAATAAAAAATTTGCAATAACTGATAAAGCCTGTGGTAAGTAATGAATTTAACATTTAAAAATGTTCAACTTTACGAAACCTTAATGAAACAAATTTAAAAAAATTTGAAATCTAATATTCAATTATACTTTATTTTCAGCTTGAATAAATCAATGTTTTCATCATTACAATATTATTATACCTCATTATTATAATTTTTCCGAATTATTAAGATGTAAATATTATTATTACTACACATCATTATTATTGTGTTCATTATTATAATTTCACACACTTAGGAAGATTTAATTATTATTGTTATTCTTAATACATTATAAAAAGTTTGTTTAAAAAGCATATATTTTTTTACTATTTCACATTTTCAGTTTTTCATTCACTTAGTAAGTAAAGTTTAGTTCTAGTTAAATGTTACAGCTTTATTGCGATAAAAAAATTATAAATTTTAGCAAAATAATAAAAAATTAAATTATTTTACAAATTAAAATGATAACTTATATCCATTTTAATAAAGCATTGTTTATATTTCAATAATTCTAATAACGCACTGTTTATATTTCAATAATTGATGCTCAAACGTTAAAAACGCACTCAGTATCTGCGTTTTTAACACTTGGAGCATCAAATGTCAAAATGTATAGATGTAAAAAAATAACATTTTTATCATGAAATTTTAACCTTTATTTAAATTATAACGCAAGAATATTGATTTTTATACAATTTCCTAAAGACAAATTTATCACTATAAACAGCTTTCAAACAAAACCATTAATTTAATTCTGTGGGGATTTCAGTTTAATTAAAACTTGCCACACTACGAAATTTAAAACCACAAATTCGACAAATATTTCAAAATTTCACTTAGCATCATATCTTATGAAAACTTTTTTACTTGAAAATGAATTAATTTGGTTTCATATAATTGATTAAAGTTTAATTTAATCTAAACGAAAATGACTTAATAGATTTTATAAATTAAAAAAGTATTTAGAATTAATAAAACCGATTTTTCTGTCTGTTATTAAAAACTAGAAAATTAATGAATTTAGTCATAATCGAAAATGCAAATACGAATGTTTAGTAATGAAGTTAATTAAACTATTTTGAAATAGTTATAAACAGTTCTCATTTTCAAAAATTATGTTAAGTTAATCAGTAAATAAAAAATAATTTTATTATAAAAGAGGGAAATATATATTCCGGATAAGCAATTTAAAAATTTAATCGTTAACCTCGACTAGCTATACAACTCAGAGGATTGTTGTGTCAAGATGATTAATGAAGCAATTCCCAAAGACAGAAACTTTTTAATTGAACCCGTTTTTTAATCCCAAAGTGTGAGAGGGGGCATATTTACTAGAGATAAAAATAAAGAATTATAGTATAAATGAATGCATAATAATGAAAGTGAATAAGAAAAAGAGGTAAAGAAATATTGTTACAATATATCAGAAAAATTAAATTATCTAAGTTTGTTAAAACAAGTGAAAATGCGAAATAAGTTATAAAGGATTCTTTTGCGATTGTTTTGTCATGCGAGGTATCTATAATTAAAAAATTCTATTTCAAATTTGCTTAGAGTCGAAATCAATTAACACCAAAATTTAAAATTTTGTGAAGGAAAAAAATTAAGTTTAGAAGTTTTAAATGTTGCTCTAAGGGGGATATTATCTATCTTTTTGTAATAGTAACGTAATAGCAACGTGCTCTAATGATGGGAATATTGGCTACCATCTGAAACTGCAACATGATATATGTCACAGTCGTGAAAAGCGGATGCGTGGAAATGTTGAGGATGTGGGGTCGAACCATCTCTTTCAGATCAAGTAAAATTGCTTGGTTGTTATGACTTAAAGATCTTTCGAATACACCCTAAGCGAAAATTTGTATGCAGCTCGAAAATTTAAGGCTGTTTTATGGGTAATTCAAGGCTTTTTTTCGTCAAGGACAATAAGAAAACACCAAATTAAGAATTTTGGTTTGGTAATTCCAGGCCCATATCCACTGTTAACTTTCCAATTTTTTCGAAAAAAAGGAAAAAAATCAAAATATTTTTTAAAATTTTATTAATAAATACAAGGAACAGAAATGAAACATAATACATAAGTTTTATGCTGAAATTTTAATTTTTTATGTGTAAAAGAACATAACCATCAGTTTACTATCCCGAGTTATCAGGGGGAAGAGGAAAAAAGTTAAATATTAGTCTTTTTATGATAGTTTTTAAAACAAGTGATACTTTCCTAAATACCAGTGAAGTGATACGCCATTTTTTAAACTCTTTTTTCTATGTAAATCTTCAACCATTGTAGATAAAATCGCACGAAACACAAATACAGTCCCATAATCCAACAGCAAAAACCAAAAAAAAGAAAAACTTGGCAAACTTCCAATCACAGCAGATAATAATTATTATTATTATTTCTTTTTTTTTTGCTTCCGGACGAGTAAAAACGTTATGAAACAAAACGTACTGAAAAACTCTGCTATACCCGAGTTTTCTCGGGATAATAAATATTTGCAATATATACATTCCCGAGTTAACTCGAGATAATCAGGAAGGTGGTTAAGAATACCAGATCTGATTGCGGTAAAAAATACTTTTATGTTAAAAAGTACTTTTATCGTTACTCTTTATCTTAAAAATCCATTTTTACAGGAACATATTACGAAACAAGAAATCAAATCTGACCTACCGTATTTTTACAGTAATAATTACCGTAAAATCTCTGAATCACTAATGAATATTACAGTAAAAACTACGGTGTAATATTTTACGATAAAAATGGATTTTATTATGAAACATATTTCACAGATAATGCACCCACAGTGCGGGTACTTTATACCGTAATTTGATCTGGAATTTTTTACGTATATACAACAATTGACCAAAACTAAAAACTGGTAAGGAGGTGACCGATGGCACACTTACTATCGAATGAGCCATTAATAAACTACAAAGGCTTAAAAATATGCATCGTTTTGAATTTGAAAGACAATTATAATAAAAAAAATTACTGTGGGTGATTTTCATCTACGGTTACGAGTGGAGAACGTTGTCAGTGTAATCTGAATAATTTTGAAACTTTCGGTTTGACATAACTTTAGGCTTTTGATTCCAAGTCGAGAATTCTATAATTTTAATCAAATTCTGAAAAATGTATTTATGTATTATTTTCACCTTCATATAGTTTTTTAAATAATCAAAATTAAGGATAAAAAATTTATCAGAATTAAGAATTAGAATACTTACATCAACTTCAATTCCAGATTGGGAAAGAGTTTTGAGAGGGGGATCGGCAGCTGGAACGTATCTGTAAAATTCTCCCATATTCTTATACCATTTAACTGCATACAGAGTTTCGTTGCCCAACTCAAAGACACATTTCAAAAGTACGCTATCACCAATTAGAACAGGTGTGGGAACATGCAACATGTTGATCTTAAGAGGTATGTGAGGTTTAAAATCTACTAATAAATAGAAAAATGAAAAATAATTAATACAAGAAAATTTTTTGTTATAGCACTTTAACAATATTTTTATTTATTTTTTCCATCAACAATACTGTGGATTTCTAGTATTTCAGAATCAAAAGGAAAGGTGAACAAGTTAGAAAAATCCAAAGTTCCTTTTAACAAAAAAATGATATTGATAAAATACCAATAAATATGAAACTGAATAGTGCCAAAAGATATTTAATAAGAACTAAACTTACTATAAAAGTATTCTTAATTTTAGTGATGATATACAAATTGGGTAATATTTTAATAAATTATTTTCAGTACTTATGAACACATTGTATGCATGTACATACATTGTGCATACTGTATTTGCAAGTACATTATTTGGTACCACTTAAATATGGCAGGGGAAAAGATTTTAAAATGTTCATGAAAGAGTTAAATTTATTAGTTTTCATCTGGATGAGACTTGACTGGAAATTATCCGGAAAGTTTTAAATTAAAAAACAAATTTTTATAATGATTTTCAAATTTTTACATTGGGGCATGAATCATAGTATAATTAACTTCCCTTATGTAGAAATTAAGGTCACATTAAACTATCCAATATTTCGAATTTCCCACTTTTGAATTAAAGAGAGTAACGAGTGTATAATATTGGTTTTTGCAATGATAAATAGACGCTGGGTCACAAGGGTCAAGGCACTGAGCTGCTGTTGTAAAGGGTAAAAACTTATTCTTTGTGGCAAGTTCAAGCTCATTCAGACTTATGGGAACAAACTTCCTGGGAAGTAAGGCGGCTGGTGAGCTATGTTGCCCATTGGTCCCACTATAATGTTATTATTCTCGACAAAGAAACTAAAACTCAAAAACTTCCTTTGTCGTCAACTGATAGTTGTGGGAATTTTCTATTTTATAATAATTAATAAGAAAAAAGTACGTATAGGCTATGAAAAAAAAATCAGTTTAGATAAGCATGCCATGTCTGTTTCTTTTTTATTGATGCCAAAAATCGATTATTAATTTTTATTGATGTTCAGAAACATTTATAAAATTTAACTTAAAGTTAAGATAGAATTATTGAAGTTAAATTTTCAATCAATCATAAAATAAGTTGTCTGTGTTTTAACAACATCAATAAATAACAAATGAGTTTTTTAAAAAATTTAGCCTTTAAATTAAATGATGTTGTTATTTTTATTGAAGTAATAAAAAATATTATAAATAGCTCTTTCAGAAAATTATCTGCTGCTGTTGAAATGCAAAATAAGGTAAGTTATTTAGATAGCTTGAGTCAACTAATTTGTTAAACAATAATAAAAAAAATCTAAACAGAAAATAACATTGCTAAATGGTCATTAGTAATAAATAAATAATAATGGTTATTAGATTGAATTTATTGTAAACCAAATGTTTTTCACAAATAAATTTGATTTTTTCATAATACTGGGCTTTTGATTTTATTCATTATAGTGGGCTAAGTTTGATTTTCTCATAATTTTTGGCTTTATCGATTACGATGAAAATTAAATACGTATAAAGATGTCGTTCATACTACATTTTTAAAATTGACCATTTTTCGTTAATTATAGAGTAAAAAAAGTTGTTCGTTTCTAAAAGTTTCTTAATGAAAATTTTCGAAAGAGAATTTACCGATTTATAACTGCCTAATATAAAATTTCAGTCGTTAACTTCTTAAAAAATATTGCGTTTAATGAATAATATTTATTCTTGAGATGCAATGCCAAATAATTTATTCTTAAATTATTCTTTGGATAAGAAAGATCTGGAAATAATCCTGTTATTTATTTTTATCGTCAGGAGAGGCCTCAAGTACAAGAAAGTATAGTATGAAAAACAAAATATCCAAAATCGCTTAATCGATTGCAGGAGCACAATCTATTTGCCTTAAAAATCAGTGACTACTTGGATTTGACTGTTTTGAAATGAATAACTACCAATCAAGATTTATCATCTTCCCTTAAGATCATACTGTTGACTACTTTCTCAAAATTTGCTGGCAGGCATAATTTATGTTTGTTAATTGATTATCATGGATATGACAAAAAGTAGAGTTGAAACTGAATATCAATAGCGCGTTTAAATTGGAACAAGTGTTTGCAATGATTAATGATTTTTGAAATATTTTTTGAAACAATGAGCAGCACTTCAAATTTAGAAAGGATGTTTTAAAAGCATATATATTACGTATGACATGATAAAATTTCTAAACTTTGTATGCGTATCAGGGTTTAAGCTGAATCTAAAAATTCATAAGCAAAAAAGCTAAAATCTGAAAAAAAGTTTTAGCAAAATGCTAAAATGCCATTAGGCTTATAAAATTACTTTATATCAAACAAGTACTGTAAGTTATCTGACAAAGAATAGCTTAATGTACAAGAATATCAAAAAGAATACCTATAACAAAAATCATTGAGAAGACAATAATATGATATTNTCATATATTCTAGCCATTTTTGTTGATCGCTATGCTTCATCTCGTTTGATCACGTTTTTTTCGTGAACGCTAGCGTCATGGTTCTTCTTGCGAAAGATATTTAGATTTTTCCTTCTTGTTTGATCAAGTTTTTTTCATGGATGTTAGCGTCATGGTTTTTCGCGGAAGCTTTTTTTTTAATGGAATTTAGTAAAATCCTTTAGCAAAAATGCGAAAATGCTTTGTTGAATTTTAGCATTTTTGAGGGGTCTTTTCGCATTTTGCGAAAAAAGCTACCGTAGCGGAAACCCTGATGCGTATATCATTCGTTATAGGACTCCTTTCGTTTAATATTTTGTACTATTTTAAGAATAAACAAATGCTAGATAAATAGTAAACTATGTCTAGATAAATAATAAAATACTTAATCATTCAATAGTCGTAAATAAAAAAAGTTCTATAAAGCCAAATACAGTCGAAAAGATTTTAAATTTGTAAAGATTTTTGAGCATTCAGACTTCATAAATGTTTATAAATGTTTTAAAACTGATTTAAAGAACTTTAAAACTTTTAAAAGAACTTTATAAGTACGGAAAACTATCAGTAGAGCTCCCAACTACGTTTTAGAATTAATAGTTTAGCTACAGACACTTAAAAGAACTTTATAAATATGAATAAGATACTTACTTTTAGCTTTAATAGATGTATAAAGTATCATTTGAACAACAGCAATAAGAAGAATTCTAATTAGAAAATCTTTGCTCATGTCTTATTCATGAACTTTAAGACATGTCTTCGAGCACGTGATCACGTTCTAAAAAATAAAAACATTTAAAAGTACTTAAATAAGTCTAAAAACTTTCAATTATATAGTTTAATCCAGACATGATTACAAGTTTGTGGTTATGGTACTGTTCTCAAAGAAAAACAAATTCGCAAGGATCATCGTATTTTTGTTTAAATATGATATTAGTTTAATTTTTTTAAAATGCTGTCTTATTGTCTTAAAGGATTTAATTACTGGGATGAATTATTATATTGTAATCATGTTGAATGATATTTGTTGGATCAAACATTTACCTTTCTCAATACCTTTTCCAAAAATAATGAATTTTTTCAACTAATTTGATTTTATGTAAGAAAAAAATTGTTCAAAAGTATATACTTAAGATATTTTAATAAAACATAATTGCTTTAACAGAAAATACCATTCGAACTTAAATCCATTTATAGGTTCACAAAAGTTCGAGTGGAATTTTTTTCAAATAATTAATTGATATGATGCTGCATTATTTTAAAAATAATAAAAAAAATTACCAGACTCAACATTTCTAGGATTTAATATGCTTAAAAACGGTTTAATCTGAATATAATTTATATTTTAATGCATAAAAAGTTACAAAAAACAAAGGTTTCACAAATTATTAACATTTATCAAATTATAAACTAATATTGAGTTCGAAAAGTAATGGTTTAAATCTCAAGACTGACATACTACCTTGCTTGAAAATTTTAAAAACCATGCACCTAAACAGTTTAAATACATTTATTTATATTTATTTATGCAGTTATTATTTGAAAAAATCTAAATAGAGAAAAATTGCTTGAGTTCTACAAGCAGAAGATTCTCCGTATGTTCGTGGCCGCTTTAAATTCCATTGAAAAGGAAATATTTGAGCTATGAAACATTCTCACCTTAATGAATCAACTTGTATTCAGAAATCGACAGTAGAGAATTTCTAATCTTAGAATATATTCCCTACCCCTAAAATTGAATTTCCTATTCATTCAACCTTCACCAGCTATATCGGCATTGCAGCAAAAAACACCTGCTGCTCTTGGAGAGAAATCCCATTTTTATTCAAATACCAGGGAGGAGAAAAAAAAGTGAAAAGCTTATAAGAAGTGATGTACAATTTTTTTTAGCATAGAATAATCTGAAAGGTTACAGAATTGAATCCATTCACTTTTTTTGATCTATTTATTCGCCACATTTACTGGTCTGTATATTCAGCTGTGTTCAGTGTTGAAGAAAAATTAAAGCAAATCCAGTCGTTTCAAAAGTATTAATAATGCAACAAAGTATTCGATAGTATTTATTTTTTCCCAATTACTCAAGTTATTTTCTTTATAAATGATAATTTTACAAATTAAGTAGAGATTATTCGACTAAATTGCTAGTACAATTTAAATACAATAGATTATTATTGTATTCTACTAAAATGTTTATTCAAATCAAATTAAAAATATCGAAACCTTTTAGAACCATGGTGGCATAAAAAAGTATTGTGTGGAAACAAACTTGTAAATGTTTTTTGGAGGTTGGATTTCAACTGTTCAATTTTAATGAAATGTTTTTCTTTCAAATCATATCTGATAGTTACATAGAATTCAAATAAACAACAAGCCTAAAATTAATTTAAAACAATAGCAATAAATAAAACTATATATCAAAACAGAATTAAAACACACGAATATTTTTTTAAATATAGGAACTCGATTAATTTCTTTGACATGTTGTACTGTTATCTTAAACATAACCAGCAATAACGTTAAGCATAAATTGTTAGTATTCATTTTAAGCGAAATACATAGTAGACAGAGAAAAATACAGAAAATGACATCTTTATAATTAAATTAAAATATGCTGCTGTTCTGATGTAAATATTAAAAATAGATTATTTTAATGCTTAAGATGAAAATAAAAACGATTTGGGTGAATTAAAAACAAATTTGGGATTTTATAATAAACATGGTGTTGGAATCCATTTAAATAATAATGCAACCTTAAATAACAATGAAAGATTTTTAAATAATTCCATACATTAAGATAAAACGCAAAAATATGTGTATTTCTTTATAAAAAAAAATCATCAGTTCTCATCACTTATGCCAGGAGTTAGTTTCAGTTATTGGGGATATAAGATATGGATATATTTAGGATATGGCCACGCTATGAAAATTTTAAATATGAATTTAGTTAAGCATCACACACTTTAATTTCGCAACGAAATTTCCTCTCGTTTTGCTTTTCTGGCACAAATAATATAAATGTTTTATGGCTTGCTCGGGCTTATAAGCATTATGTACTTTAAATAAAATTACGAAGCTGGTATTTTTCATCAAAGTGATCTACAATTTATATGTTTTGTTGCAATAATATTACTTACCTAATTTCATTGATTATTCTGGGGAATAAATTTTTTGTTGAATTTATACAAATACTTGTTCCTGTCTGATTCAGGTTTGGGGATTTCCAATCTGAAATTAGTCTTGCTCCTAAAGTTATAGCTTTAAATTATATATTTAGACTATTTTTTTTGTCGAAATGTACAACTTTATAAACGTTATATAATATAGAGAGTCGCATATATATTGCGACAAACTTCTAGGGGAGTTAGAGCACATCATCAGGATTAAAGTTGCATGCAAGTCCATGCACAGAAATGTCATAGTACGTGGCTAGGGACTCTTCCCTTTTATGACCTATTCAGAAGCACATGGAGAAACTGTACACAAAAGGGGAAGTGCCCCTAGAGGAGTATGACAAAATTTTTGGACATGGGTTCGAATAAGAAATTTTTCTCGTTAATCATTTAAAATATGGTATTTGAAAATAATTCATCTAAATTAGGTGGACAGAGTTAGAAAGGGAATGCTTGTACCAATTTGAAGACAAACACAATGTTAATCGGTAAAAGTTGCATATTTTCTTTAACAATAATAGAAAGATGGATAAATAATTAGTTTCCTTCTCTCAAAATTCAACTGTGTATTTTTTTATTGCTTGTTTCAATTTATATAGTCTTTATGTGTAATTTACCAGTAAGAAACAATCATTAGTAAATTTTTAAAAATTATTTTACGAAAATTAATTTTCAAAGAGTGGGAGATGTGGGAAAAATAAATAAATAGCATATTTTAAATTCAAATCTTCGCATTTCCACAGAAAATTCTCACAAATCCACTCCAATCCTATAAATTTCACTCAACATTAATGACATGGATTCCTCTGATAGTACCCTTGAGAATTCAGGTGGTTTAGAAATCTGATTGGCTTGCGATAATGAATTAAGCAGTGCCGCGATTGACTCAAAGCGAATAAATCTTAGTATTTCCAATTCATTATAATTGTCGATAGAACAAGCTTAAACTCGTTCATTTTGAACTGTTAGAGGATTTAGCGATGTTTAATAATTCTCCTCATTGTAATTTAAGTACTCAAAACGATTGAATGACGAATAAATTAATTTTAAAGTATACTTTAATAAAAGGTTATTTGTAGGCGTATAACTTGAGTATTGCCTTGTTACATGAATATTAAAGCCTTATTAAATTGAGGTCACTTTGAATCATAATTGAAGTTAAGTGACTATGAATTTAAGTTTAATACAATAACCATGGGAATAAACTCTACTTAATATTATTAGCAAATAACAAGCAGTTTAGTTTTTTAAAATTAAGTATTTAGGTCAAGGAAGTTTAAGACAGTAGAGGGAAATTGAATTTTTTGTATAGAAAGTTATCACTGGAAGATGGGGCCAACAGTTATGTTGCTGTTGTTGTCTCTAATGTCACTTGCCACACGGGCAGGCCTGCTTGGTGAAAGCGAGCAAATTTAAGGCAGAGTATGCGTTTTTTATTTTTCAGTGGCGCCATCTATGGCCAAGAATTTGTCTTCTGCCACACCATACGTCGCACTCGTTTATAGGGCGGACCCATTCATGCATCCATTCATCCACAGATCGTAATTTTGACCTGAATCAGAGAACAATCGATCTCCAATCCAGCACCCCCAGTGGTATTGATTTGTTATGGGAACATGGAGGACTTTTTGCGACTCGTCAGATTTAACGTGCATCAGTCACTTTACTACACGAGGAATCTTCAGCCGGCACGAACTCTCGGACATGGGCCCAGCGCCCTACTGACCAGGCTATTCCGGCCCTTATTATTATTACTTATTATTATTATTACCCGGCTGTTATGTATTACTAAAACAATATTCTGCTTTTCTGTTTAAAAAATAATAATAATTTTATTTTGAATTTTAATCTTCTGTTCTCTTCATTAAATAACTTGGTGATGTCACAATATCTTTACTTATTAATCATGGGTACTTTATATAATGTGTCATAGACTTTTTAGAAACGTAAAGAAAATTATTAATAATAATTGCCAACAAAATTGTCATGACTAAGCTTTAAAATTTTGTAGCTAAGTTTGTAAAGTTTGAAGTTCCCAAAAATATTATGACAAATGATCCTATAAGACTTCCTATTGGCATAAGAGTATTGGAATATAATTTTTATAGATTAATTCGATACTTAAAATAAGGTTTTACTTTTTCAATATATCTCCAACTTGTCAATTCGTATAACGAAGTTAATTTTGTAATTTAAAAAAATAATGTTAAACTTCTTATCGGAGAACAACTTTGAAACCCACGATTTTCATTACCTGAATATAGATAATTCACTATTCATTCCAGACCCAGACATATACCATCAGTGTAGATGCAGCCTTTTATGTCATTATGTTTCTTAATCTGTGAAGCATGATGCAAAATTGAGTGTTAGAGGTTCGAAGTTTTGAGGCCAAAAGTAACATTTGCTTAAGACTTTTGGCTATTTTACAAATAGCTTTTGGTAAATATGATATTTGCTTACAATTCTCTAAAATCAAATGAAAATTATTATTCATGTGATTTTAATTTATGTTATTTCTGTCTATATATTAATCAACCTGTTTGTGTTGATAGTTTCATTAATCTGGAGAATGCAAATTTTGTTGAATTTTTATAGTAATTAATAT